ATATATACTATATATATATATATATTATATATATATATATATAATATATATATATATATATATATATATATATATATATATATATATATATATATATATATATATATATATATATATATATATATATATATATATATATATATATATATATATATATATATATATATATATATATATATATATATATATATATATATATATATATATATATATATATATGTTTTTATAAATTAAAAGAAAAATAAAACAAAGATAGAATATTTGATTATAAAAATTATAACATTATATGGTTATAAAATTAAAAAACAAAATTGTGTGAAATAATATATTTTAAATATAAATTTAAAATCATAGAATATAGGATAATTATATGTTATGTAATATATATATATATATATATATATATATATATATATATATATATATATATATATATATATATATATATATATATATATATATATATATATATATATATATATATATATATATATATATATATATATATATATATATATATATATATATATATATATATATATATATATATATATATATATATATATATATATATATATATATATTATATATATATATATATATATATATATATATATATATATATATATATATATATATATATATATATATATATATAATAGTTATTTATAAAAAACATTAATTATTATATGTTTATTAAATGTTTAGTTAAAAAAACAAAATTTTTATGGTCAATATATTTAATATGTTTATATTAAAAATGTTTAGTTAAAATAAAAACAAAATTTTTATGTTTAATATCTTTATATTTAATTTATTTTATTTTAATTCAATTTAATTTAATTTATTAAATATTTAACTTTTTTTTTATTGAATGTACAGGAGGATTATCAGACGTTGCTCGCAAATTTTCTGATTCATAATCTTTAATATACTCCGGGAGAGGGAGAGCCGCTTCATTTAAATGTGGATTTTTATATTTGGGATCAAGTCATTGGCGAAAAAGACCCCAACGGTTATTTTTTTGGTGGTGAAAATTTGGCGGGCACCTTGAAAAGTGAGGATAGAACTCTATTTCAAAGAGTTAGAGATGGAGAAGGGGGGTCACGTCAACCAAATTTGACACCAGAACAACTTGAAACAGTAAGACAATTGACGTTAAATGAGACGAGATGCGAGTCAGCGCAACGTGAGACGATAATGAAAGCCCAAATAGAGGCTCAAATAGAAGCAATGAGGCAAGAACAACAACGACAAATGGAGGTCATGGCAAAGAGGCAAGCTGATATGGAGCAACAAATGAGACAATTTATGCAAGGATTTGGTGGAAATCAATACTTTCGTGGTCAAGAGTCGGAGGATGACGAAAACAAAGATAATTTTGACATTGACAATTATACCAACCAAGATGACCCGTAAACTTAATTTGTTTTTTTTTTCAAATTTGAATTTGTGTACCATACTATTTAATGAAACCTGCTAATTAATTCTTAAATTTATAATTTTAGTTTATTAATTTTATTATATTAAATTTAATATATTAAATTTATTATATATTGAATTTATTATATATTGAATTTATTATATATTGAATTTATTAATTAATATTATTAGTTTAATTAATTATAAAAAAAATAAATTTCAGTTATTAATTTTTGTTTTAAAAAAGAAAAACATTAGTGACGTAATTTTCATGTCAGAAGTTGTGACGTGAAAATCACGTTGCAACCTAATTTTTATATAAAATAAAATAAAAACTGAAGACTAAATGGATATTAAACGTAATTATCTAACGGCGTGATTTTCACGTCACTAATTTGTGACGTGAAAATCACGTGACAAATAAAATAACTTTACCTCTGCACAACCTGCTTTATCTGCAACGTTTTTAATCCTATAAAAGTATGTTGCGACGTGATTTTCACGTCACAACTTTGTGACATGAAAATCACGTCGCAAATTAATTTGTCACCCCCTCCTCAACCACATAATCGTGCACGTTGCAAATAATTTATTATGACATGATTTTTCAAGTTGTGACGTGAAATTCACATTGCAAATAAAAATATTTTTTATAGTGTAAAATAAACATTTTTAAATTCTAATAATATTTTTGATTTTTCACTAGAGCAATCCTTAAGATTAAGATGGGAGAAACAATTTAAAAAAAAACACTATTGTTGCTTGTTATAATCAGCTTATGAGACCCATAAAAAAAAACTAGTTTATGAGCTACTAAGCTCAATTTTGATAAGCTTGCTTGTTATCTTGAATATGAAGATAGCGTAGATCCCACTCATGGCACTCATTTATTTGTATATCACTTTCATATTTTTGACTTTTTATCTAATTAATTTCGCCAACTGTTTATTTTAAGCATTAAACTATTTCAACCACAAATTTAAAATTGGACTTAATCAAATCTATTAAAGCACCACACTTTAATAGGAGAAAATTTATTCCATTGATTATTTCAACTTCTCCATACTCTTAGTCTTTTCCAATTTGCATGTGATAACAATAGTTAACTTTTTTTCATTAAATACTTTATCCTCTAAAATAAATGGCTTAAAATCTCATACAAATGTAATAGAGAAAATTCCTAGACGCAGTCTTGTATATATTTATGTACTTCAACATTTTATCATATATATCTACTCCATATCAAAACTCAAAAAAATCAAATTGAAGTTGTCCATTTAATGGCTCCAATGAGGATCTAAAATTGTAATCATCCTCCAATTTAATCCAACTAGAGCTTTCATGCATATATGCTTCACTAAAATTATTATCACTACTCCATTGTTGGTGAGTTGAACTTTCCTTCTGATTTTGAGCATCATCAACATGAACACAATCATTAAACTCCACAAACATTTCAGCAACATTAGAATCTTGACCAGTGAGTTCTTGCACAAGTGCTCTAAAATTTGAAGCACTAGTTTTCACCTTCATAGGACTTGAAATATAAGTAACCTTTACCTCTTTTTTGTTCTTTTTGCTTTGTCTTTTCGCCTTCATCATCACATGGTTGTTAACACCAAGCATGTTTATCTCACTTTTCATCATCAAAATATATTTTAGTGTTTATGATTGTTTGATGAGTGTATGATATTATGATTAATAAAATACAAGTTGGGCTAGTATTTATACATAAAAGGTATGAAAGATAAGGGTGATGTAAAGTCAAAGTAAATTTCCTAGAATGAGATTATTAATTAGTTTGGTGAAAGCAATTGATATGAGAAAAAGGAAATTGGTTAGAAACTGCCTTGGTTCAGAAGATTCTATTGGGAGTGCTTTTTAGAGATACCTTTAAATTAATATAATAATAAGTGATATTTTATGTTATGGTGATTCTAGTGGTTTTGATTCAATGCACTTTTTGGTCAATTGAGCAGCCATACATGACTTGGAATCTAAAATCTAGATAGATGTCCTTTTTTGTCATAAGAGGATATAATGTTAATTTTATGTTAAATATGTTACTATTTTTTCTATTCTATTTTAGGGCATATTTGTAGTCTTAGTATTTTTCTATTCTATTTTAGGGCATGTTTGTTATAGATTTTTAAAAAATTATTTATATTTATATTTTAAAAAATGAATTTTATGAAAATTATTTGAAGTTCTTTTTTTTTTTATAAATAAAAAAGTTAATTTTAATACTCAATAGCAAAAAAAATTATTAAAAATTAAAATTTAGTCAAAATTACATGATTTTTGAAAGAGGTATAACTCAAAGTATTTTCTAAACTTTTTATTATTTAAAATAGATATTTAAATAACTATTTAAAATTTTGGTATACAAAAAAACATGATAAAATACTTAGAATAATAATTTATAAAAAATATTGAAACTAATTCTTTATTTGATTTTAAAAATAAATAAAATTTTTAAACTACGTATTGTTTCTTGTTATTTAGAGGATATTTTTCTTATAACTTTAACTTTTTTGTTGTACAATTTACATCAAAATTAAGTTTTTATTTTACACAATTTTCACTCAAGTTAATATATTACTGTTTTGAATATTTTAGTTTTTTTTATACTATACTATTATTATTATTATTATTATTATTATTATTATTATTATTATTATTATTATTATTATTATTATTATTATTATTATTATTATTATTATTATTATTATTATTATTATTATTATTATTATTATTATTATTATTATTATTATTATTATTATTATTATTATTATTATTATTATTATTATTATTATAAATAACTTAATTAATTATTTTGACACCCCTTTGGCTTCCGAACAGATCCGGAAAACTATTAAGCAAATGTTCAAAAAATTATCATAAATATTATATTATTGGTTGTGTTTCCTAACGAGTGGTATATACTTTACTTATTTTACACATAATAGAAAAAAGACTATAATTATAAAAAGTTAATAATTATAACTTTTTTTCTTTCAAATGAACCTTATGAAATGTAAGTGTATTTATCGTTAACATAATTATAAAATCGATGATATATGATATTAATTCATTAACACAATCGAAACAAATTAGGTAGGTTGGTTGAAATTTTCACTCCACCATATACTTATGGTGATATATAATTCCTTAATGCATTGGAACGGAGAAGCATATAGAGTAACATTTGTTTTGCCTAAGAGATTTTTTCACTCCACCACCGTACACTTATGCTCTATAGCAAAAGGTTTAAGGTTAAGAGTGCATGAAATAGTTAGTCTCTCCTCTGATTAATGATAGATGATTTCGTCCTTCTGACGCATCGATCACCAATTGGTTAGATTTAAGAGTCATTCGTACAACATCTCTCTTTTCACACAAAGGATTTAAACCACTCGCACTATATAAAGAGAAAAGTTCGTCATTCAGATATTCAAATTCATTTTCTCTCACATTACTCTTTATTTTCTAACTGACTTGAGCGTTTAAGTGTTAACCTTGCAAGTCGTCCCCATTTCCTTTGCACCGAAAACTTATTCAACTGATCTAAGATCTCATACCACCGTCTCACTGATCATTTATGGTTTAGAAGCGAAACTATGACGTTGTCTATGGAAATTGACTTATAATTCCTACGAATTCCACAAAGAACAATTATTTCTTTATCGAAGATCTAGACCTCTGAGTCTTTCCTTGTGAACACTGATCACTTTCCAAATAATCTAATACCAAACTCGTGAAGCTATGGTGAATTTTAAAATCACTCAATCTTCCAAACCCGCTATTGAAGATAGCAAAACTCTTTGGACATGTGACTCCATATACTAGGGGGGGGGGGGGGGGGGGGGGGGGGGGGGGGAGATGTGAAGGTTTGAAAAACATTGATTGAAAGCAAAATCATTTGAAAAATTAGAGTTTGAAAATATTTTAAGCCCTCACTCAGAACAATGATCCCCATTTAGACACAAAAGTACTCTCAAAACTAGGGTAAAATATATGTGAGAAATTGAGAGATTTATAAAAAAATTATGAGAGTAAGAAAATGAGATGAAAACTCATCTTCTAGATGAAATGAAATTATAGAGAATATATTTATTTATAGGACAAATTGTGATTTAAATTTAGAAATAATCCATTGGCGAAATAAATTCCATAATCGATTAGACCGATCAATTATTGACGCCAAATAATCGATTGTTCAAGCCACAAATGGAAGGTTTTTACATTTAGTCATTACCTATCATTAAGAGACTCTCCCAACCGATTTTATACTCAAACAAGAAAAAATAACCGATTAAGTGATTAGGTCTAATCGATTATCTAGTTGTAAAAAAGTCATCAAATTGATCAAACAATCCCCCTAATCAGTTGACTAGGCCTTAAAAATATTATCTTGGTGATTTTAATAAAATATGAGAGATTTCTCAAAGATTTTTAGTGTGTGTTATTTAGACATAATATTTCCAAAATTACCCTTACGCCTTTACAAAACAGTGATCACTCAGATATACACGACTAAGCGAGCTTTCACACTTTCTCTCTATCATAACTCAGAAGCTCCAAGTCTTGACATCATTATCTTTGACTTTATAATCATACAAGAACCTTGAATATTCTATCTCAATGAGACTTAGTATATATTCTATTTTATCACCATCATCAGAGAGTTGAGAGAACAAACCACCAACGAACCTTGAAAGTGAAGTTTTCACTTAAATTTCGGTTGACAACCAAAGTGACAACTTCAAATAGATGACTCAATCTTCAAGAACATCTTCAAATAATGGATTGATAACATATTTAGAATCTTTGACCTCTTAGTATATCTTCAAGAGACTTCTCTAGATATCATTTGATATCAAGTGTTGTCATCATCAAAACCAACTAGCTAATTCATTGATTGCAGCTTTGATATCAGTAAACTCCACTGCATTGGATCATCTTAAAGATATCTGCAAGCACATAGATCCACATTCTCCTCCTTTTTGATGATGACAACACACCACTCAAGGATGTAGTGAAAGAGAAAACAAACAAAAAAAACCTTGGAGTGGTTAAACTCCCCCTCACATGAGTAGAGAGTATACTTTACTCCCTTGAGAGTATACTTATCCCTCATTGGCATAATCAAAAAGGCCAAAAAAAGATATTAGAAAAGAAGGATAAACATGCAAGCACATAATTCACGTAGATCAAACATGATTTACTAAAGTAGGAAAACTATTTCTTCATTAATTTAAAGAAAATTCAAAATACAGAAAGCGGGGAAATATGGAAATTTAAACACACTTAATTTATAAAAATAAACATATAAGTGATATCACTACTCGTTGTTAATATCATCATTCTAAGCTATGGTTTTTTCTTTTTAAATCCTTGTGAGGGCATCAACTTTTTTAGATACCTTTTGAATGACATATGCAGTTTCCTAAGAAATAATGAGGAGGGAATTCAAAATAATTCATCTTTTATAGGTTGAGCATTTGTGTCTTCTTCTTCCACTAAATCTCTTCTTAAGTATCCTTGAACAACACAAACTTTCATCTCGCTGAAGAATGATGAGTTGATATGATAATGGATTGCGTCAACATTTTCTTTTGCAAGTTTGACTCCTGCCCTAATCAAAACTTTTCCTTGATTTGCGAGAGTCGGGTCTTAAAATGGGAGATTTGAGTAAAACTTTTGAAAAGCCTTGGTAAAGAAATCTATGAGAAAACCTCTACTGATATTCTCATTAGGTCTAAAATCTTTGAGAAACTTTGGTTCCATGTAGGTTGGTCGAATCACTTTCTGGTTGATAAACTATTTTGAATTCCTCAATGAGGACCCTTTTAAGGGAGACTTGGTTGAAGATGAATTTATAGCCGATACATTGTTTGATGGAGCCATAGAAAAATGATAGTAGTAACAACACATGGAGACTCACACAAAGCAAAAAGAGAGAGAACAGAGAAAATGATGCAAAATAAGGGAATATGAGTACCTATTTATAGTGAAGCTTCTGAATATTTGAGTGTGTAAAAAAATCCATAAGATCCATGAAGACTTGTCCCATAAAATACTGGAAGCAAAAATTTCCAAAATATATGTGATAATTGATTATTCAAGGGGAATAATCGATTATATTAAGGGATAATCACGTTGACCTCCCCTGAGGTCTGCTAAAATGACACAGACACCTCCTCTAGTTTTAAAGTATGCACTAACCTCCCTTAAGTTTAGTTATACCAATGAAATGTTTTAGTGACAGACAAAAACCGTAGGTAAATTCCATTTATACCAACAGTTTTTTGTTGTCACTAAAAATTAGAGGGAGTGTCAATGTTGTTTTAATAAAACTCAAGGGAGGTTAGTGCATAATTTAAAACTACATGAAGGTGTTTGTGCTGTTTTAATAAACCTCAAAGGAGGTGAGTGTAATTTTCTCTATATTATATTAATTTTGAAGATTTTGTGTGTTCTTCCTTAATACTCTGGTTTGATTTGCTTTAAGGCGAAGATACATTTTGAGCTCACTTGAAATTTGAAACTTAAAGACCACCTAATCGATTGGGATCATCGATTATTTATCTTGATTTCAGCCTTCTTGGTCTTTTGGGTCGTGG